ACAGTGATATGAGGGAACCTGAGTGCTGAGAGAGTTGTGAGGGTGTTTGTTACTTCCTGGCTGCCCACACAGCGGAATGCTGATTCTTCTTGAAGCAACTGAAAATTTTTGTTAGTAATAGTGGTGCATGACCACAGAGCATCGTTTGAAGGCCGGTTACACACTACTTTTTTGGAGGTCTGGGATTTAGGTTGATCTATTTCGACTGGAACTGTAAACACATACCACCGGAAGACCTCAAGGTATAGGGTGTCGACCTTTTCTAGCCTCCCTCTACTCGTAAAGAAGGCAGCATCGGCATGGTACTTCTGGTCATCTAAAGGAAACGAATTACTGCTATCACACCTTTGTCCAGACACAAGTACAACTTTGCACTCAGACCTCCATTATAGCGTAGCGATTTACACTTTGACGGTAATTGTTTTTTATCTTACCACTATTCAATTCACTTGTCTAGTAGGACCCTGAGGGAACAAGTTTCTCACCAGCATAGTTCGTTGGGTTATTGTTAAATGAAAGTCCGACCACCACACCAAAATAGCAACAACAGGTCGAGTCATCTGCTGCTATGATTCAGAGACGAAAATCGAAACTGAGTGCTTATGAATGTACAACTCAACAGAGACAGGCTGAAGATAAACCTTATATGGATCTCCTATATTTATCATTCAACAATACTCCTACTATTACTGATTGTTTATTAGTTCAGTCACTAACAGGTAGTAAGATGAGACTGACACACGGTACTCAAAAGTACTATGTAATCATCATGAATGGAACGAAGAAGGGTTGAAATGCTCAATACAAAGGAAGATTTCCTGAGATATATTAATGAAGACATGAAATATCACTACATACGGAAGGATTTTTATACTTGATCGTCAGTGTTGTTATTGCTGAGACACTGAGAGTTGCTGTGTCTGATTATATTAATTTCACACCTCTGAATCAAGAAAATGAAATTACTGGCTCATCTAATATGCTGGAGGCCGGAAATTTTTAATGCAATTATGAGAAAGTCAGAGTTGTTCTGATTGGCCCCATAAAATGTCGTGCGGAAAATCACTATGGAATCCATAGCATGTACTTATGAAACATGGAAGTGCAATCAAGTAGATTAGTGTGGACCCATTTTTTAACCTATCATATGCTTTAGTCACGGTGGTAGGGCCAGAAGTAATACTTACAGACATTCGTAATGAAAAATTTATACACAAAGTGACGTATTCTAAATATTTTGGTTAACATAAGAACTCATAGTGAGATGTCTGGTCACGGACTGTGTATACTGATAAATAGCTACGAAAACTTCATACAATTTTGCCCTTTGATGAATTTATAAAAAACAGGAAGAGCAACAGTAGCAGAATTAGCATGCGTAGTCTGTATGTATCAGACTAAATGCTCACTGAGACCATCTAAAGTGGACAAGTTTCCAAATGTACATGCCAAAGCACACGTATTGAACGAAGAGAGAGAAGGGTTATTATTCGCATTTTTGAACACATTCTGAAGAATTCAAGTCTTAATGATTCATATGGTTTAAAGAGCGAAATCACCCGGCATTTATTTGATACTGGACATAAAGTCAACGTATCAAAATCGTTCAAAGTGATCAAAAAACAACTGAAACCCACGCCTTTCTCGGTCCCCTGAAGCAGTTGCAGCCATAAAATTGAAACGTGATCTATGTATTCAGAAAGATATTGTTGTCAATCTTGCCTCACCTTGGTAATTTGAATCTAAGTTTGTAACTATAAATTTTCATGACCTCGTGACAGTTTCTTTCATGTTATCTTTCGACCTATTTCAAAGCATACTTTTACTTTCTGAGTTGTATTCATCGTATTAATCAATATAATGAAAATCTGTTAACCTTTTATTATACATACTTAACCATGATATCACTTCTACCAATTCTAGACTGACAATGTGAACATCCCCCCTCCCATTATTTTTGTTATCTTCCCTAGCATGTTCATTCTATCATTCTATGAAAAGTTAACCTTTGAGTAATCTTGACAACTTCACTAATATAATTGTAAAACTTGGGCACTGTGTTAGAATGTAATTCCATGTTACATTTATTTATCTGATATGGTACAGTGATACAGCATTATCATCAAGTAAATAATATTGTATCATTGTGTGCCATATCAAATAAACAAATCCAATATGGAATTAACAACTTCATCAATCACGATTAGTCACAACTTAGCCAGGGATCGTGGGTGTATAACAAGTTTTTATCATAAACATTAGATCTTATGGGCTATTAAAACGTTTGAATGGAAACGTTTCTTCAAAATATCTCTAATAAAACAGTCCTTTTAAACCAGCACTTCAACTTCACTATACTGCCAGGTGCATTAAGAAATTGAAACTTTTTCTGATTTCAACCTGATCAGAAGTACTGGAAATATGTTTAAAATGTTTAATTGGATCCAAACAACAGGGCGCTCTGGAACAAGGCTCGGTAATTCTTGGAACTCATTAACTATGATTATGTGTAACTATGCGGGGATTGATACACTTTCAGAGATCTGAACTTGCGTAAGAGGTGTCACCAGTGAGTTATTCAGGTTGCTACTAATCTCCTTCCTACAAGACTCGACTTGACAGTATAAAACCGGTTGCTCACTAATAACCAGAAAATGTATCTAATCTACCGACTTCCTCCACAAGCTTCGATACTTGAGCATTAAAATAGCAACCAATTACACATCCTGAGCCACAAATCTTTACCATCATTTTAAAATCTCTGGAGCGCAAAAAGATTTTCCGTGCTCGGAAATGACAGAACTTCGCCTGTCGGCGAGCTTCTGCTCGACAGCAGCTTTTCTTTCTTACGCAAACGTTTACGGTGGAGCATCTTGCCACAAAGTGTTAGATACAGACCACCCCATCCACTCTCCAATTGGATGGAAGATTGCACAACAAAGTGGTAGAAAAATGGTAGGATTAATGATATCAGATGCACACAATAGATTGACCAAGGGAATTACAACTCAACAAAAAATAGTGTAACCAATCATCGGGACAGATATGATGAGCAAATTGACGGTAGTCATCAATATAGGAACTAAGACCAAAGGCGCGAAGAGGAGGCAGGAGTTGAGTGATAAATTATTCAAGCTAACATAACCAACAAACAAGAAATTGAAAGATAAATGGGTAGTGAAACTTTCAGAACGTCCACTATCTACGACAGAATAGGATTTACTTTAGAAGGGACTGAACTACAACACTGAAAATGCAAACGAACTTGATTTCTGTGCTTCCTTGGAGTCTACACTGAAAATCTCAGGATCGAATGTTGAGCAACAACGGGAAGTATGTCAATCTTTAGTGAAAAACAAAGCAAATCAACATCTGCTAAGCACAAAGGAAATAAATGCACTGAAATCACTAATGACTGACAAGAAAATTGTAATCTTACTTTCGGATAAAAGAAGGAAAACGTCGTCATGAATACAACAGACTACGTCAAAAAGGTACATGATTTACTAAACGATGAAAGTGTGTTCCAACTAGTAGACTAGAATCTGATTAAACGGTTAGACAACCATATCCAAAGGAAGCTGAGGAATTTAGTAGAAGCTGACCAAATCACAAAAGAAAAACAATGGCGGATGAAGACAAACAGACAGGTCCTAACAAGGTTCTACGGTCGACCTAAGATAGATACTCCACTACGACCAAGTTTCACTACCTGAAATGCCTTCATTCAACTTATCGAAAGGACTATGTAGAAAAATAAAGCATCTCACCAATTGGAGTGAACACTCAGTTGGCTCAGCAACTGAATTTATAGACAAAATAAAAGATTTAAAGATAGGCAATGATGAAAGAATGATATCATCTGATGTCACTTTACTCTTTACTTCAATCGACTTAAATTTAGCCAAGATGATGGATATTCTTCTGAAGAATGACAAAACTTTCTCTGACTACACAAAGAGTATGGTTTTAAATCTACCGGAATTGATCAATCTGTTTCATGACCAATTTACAATCCAATGGGAAGATTTAAAAACAAAAGAAAGGGACACCAATGGGATCGCCAATATCAGGACTGATTGCTGAAGCTGTAATGCAGTGGCTGAAATCAATAGTCATCCCTCTCACCAAACCAAAAATTTGGATTCGGTATGTTGAGAACACATTCGTAATTCTCAAGATGGAATAGAAAACACATTCAAACTAATCAACCAAACATTTCAAGGAATCCCCTTTACAAAGGAGGAGGAATCCAAGGATAAAATTCGACTCTCAGATGTCTTCATCAGCAAAACATACGACGAGAATTTACAGACTCAGCTGTACAAGAAAACAACACACACACACACATCAAATATTGAACTAAAGTAGAAATTATTCTACAGTCCATATGAAATGTGTACAAACATTATTGTCAAGAGCAGAAACACACTGCAGCACTAAGGAAAGCGGAAGAAAAACACCTGTACAAAGTGTTCAAAGCCAATAATTATCCACTCAACTTTATCAAAGTATTTATCAGCTGGACAGAAGACAGGGCAACTATCCCAAATCACTACCCTATATCAAAGATATCTCAGAAACGGTCAACTGATTGCTTCGTCCCTTCGGAATCAGAGTAGCACACAAACCAACGAAATCATTACACACCATATTGTGTAAACCAAGGGATCCCGTTGCAAAAAGACGGGACAAATATAATCCACGAGATTGTTCTAGCATTAAGTTGGCCAGTCTAGCCGTCAAATTGCTGAAAAAAATTATGAACACCAACTAGCAGTAAAACGACATGACGCCGCCTTCTTGGTTTCAGTGCATCCACATAATGATGATAACAAATTCGACTGGAAGAACGTGAAAATCCTCCAAAGACCAGGATTGAAAGCTGGAAGAGAATTTCTAGAAGCATGGTATTCAAATCAAATCTCAATCAACACACTTGTGGATATAGACCCGATTAACAATCCACTTAGAAAGAAAACAGTCATCCATCAACTAAGGGCAAACTGACTAAACAAATCAATAATGATCCACAGCGTAACAACAACAAACACCACAATTTCACCCCAACGAAAAACATTTAATGATGAAACTAAAGGAAATTTAGGTTGAGTTCAGGGTGTGATAAATAATTCTTCCCCAACCCAAGGTCAATAAAAACACTATCTAAACATTCGTGTAACATTAGAAAATGCTTCACTCCTTTATGAAGTTTGTGCTGAAGATGTCACTAAGGCTGGTAATGAAACTTTCATCAGAAAATACCCCAAAAGCTTAGAGAGTGCCAAACCACCATTACACAAGTTTAATTTTAAGAAAAAAGGTTACGTATCTGCATTTAGAATGTGCTTGTATCAATATATAACTTTTTGGAAATTTATTAGTAACAAAAGTTCTTTGAAACTTCCAACTGACATACTTAAAGCCCTCATTGTATTCCAATATCTGGTAGTTACAAGTCATCATTTACTAAACCGAACAAACGAATGACACCTTGATCTCGCTCATATTTCGCTTCACTTGAATAACTCAGAAGATACTGTCGAGGATGCCAAGCAAGTACGAATGTAGCTGATGCATGTGTTCCAACTTGGTATACTTGTTCACCTATTGTAATGTTTCAACAACAAAAAATATTATACATAAGTAACGGATTGTGGGAGATCTACAGACAATATTTGAAATGTAACAGCAAGTTTTACCAGATGAAAGTATATTACAACTAGAAAATAAATTTTGATATCCAGTTAAATTTATCGTGAAAATTAGTGAAGACTAAGACAAATAATGCTGACTGACAGAGTGATAACAACTGCTCACGGGTGGGTGATCAACTCCTCTGGCACAACGCCCCTTCATTGAAATGATAATAAAAAACAGAATAGCCGGCTGCCAGATACTTATTTTGTCTATCATTTGACTATCTGAGATAGCCGTGGTCTGGCGAACTAGTATCTATACTGAATGATGATTGAAGGAAAAATGAAAATTTGGACTGCAGCCGGATTCGGACCAGTGACCACCGGGTTTCTGGCCCGTCGTTCCAACACCTGAGCTACGACACCCAACTGCTGACCAGATTTCTATTTCACTTCAATCACCAAGGGTTTTGTCAGACTACTACGTCAATTCGTGATGCGTTACTACCGTTTGATCGTATTCACACTGACTGTCTAGTGAGGACGTCTCATTCCAATCGCAATCTAACTGAATTACAGAGGTGGAGCACTTGTTTGATTGATTGATTATCGGTTGACTATCTGAGACAGCCGTAGTTTGGCAGACTAGTATTTATGCTGGATGATTGAAGGTGAAATGAAAATTTGGGCCGCGGCCGGATTCGAACCTATTTTGTCATCAAAAAAGCGAAAACGGTAAATGTATACTTAAGCGTTAACAAAAAACATGCATGAAAACCTATATCAAAAGTCAATATGAGTAGATTAAAATCACTTGAAATTCAACAAGTGACCACCTTATGCTGGTTTGACTAGTATTAGAAAGATAACCTAGACTGAAAGTGAAGCCTGCAAGCCGATCGAGTTACAGTATACCCAATACATTAAGAGGAAGAAACCTGTATAAAGTGGATATTAAGGTGACAGCTTAGCCAAGCTAGTCACAACATACAAGTCAGATACCAACCAGGTGATAGAATTCTGCTAACATTAAAATCAGATCTATATCAACCAATCCTACCGATAGCTTTTACCTGAGCATGGTGATCGGGCTTGCATATAGCAATTATCCGAAGAGCTATACTGATAGAATGCTCCTTCCATCAAGGTCCTACTAGACCAGAAACGTGCATTGGACAGTGATAAGATAAACAGTAGTTACTGTAATAGTTTACATTATTACGCTACAATGGGGCTCCCAGAGGGAAGTCGTACTGCCGACTGGACGGTGTGACAGCAGTAAAGTGTTTTCCCTTGGATGACAACCAGTGCCATACCGATGTTACGTTTTCTATGCGAAGGGTGGGTAGAAAAGGTGGGCGCTAAAAATATTACACTCCCCTCCATCCTGTAGTATTCCGGTGCCGGTGGTATGGATTTCTAGCTGGAATCAAAACGAAAAACCTGAAATCTCAGACCTCTAAAAAGGCCGTTTGTGATCAGCCTAAAGTCGATGTCTTTCGCGCTCTACGGTCAAGTACCCCCTAATACTGGCAAAGCCTTTTCACGTACATAAAGCCAAAACAACCTTCTAAGGTGTGGGTAGCCAGAAAGTGTCAGCCACCGTCATAACGCCATCGGTACTCAAGTTCCTTCAGATCACTGTCCACCCCCATAACTTCTAGCCTTCCTTTATGTTTCTCGACCAACATTCCTGCAGTCTCTTCAGTTTTTTGCAGCTAGGCAGCTCTTGACAGTGATCCGAGTTCACAGAACGGTATCACTGGCTTCGCTGATGCTGCGAACTACATACTGGAACTTTCAATGCTTACACTGTCAGTCAAATCGATCAGCAAGCTTCACAAGCGAAAAATCTAGCATCTCGTACCATGAATATGTTACATGGTTGTGAGATGGGCATTTAGAATTGAAGTGTGGTTATTCACACACACACACCTGGTTTGGTCAATAAGGTGAACCCACGAAATTCACGGTTCGAGTTTCTGGAGATGCGATGACCAGTTTTCGCGGTCTTGCAGGTATGGGTATAAGTACCATTGAGTCCTAAGACAGGAAGTATACTGCTACACTGGATCCCACTTTACAATCACCCGTGCGCTGTTCGACTGAACAGCACAGTGAAGACTAAAAGGAATAGCGAAAATAGACGTTATCTGTTACTAATATCTGCTTACACTGCTGCTGATTGCAGTTCGTGTAGGTTATTTACTTGTCATTTGTGCTGAAGTGTCTAGTGATTGAAGGTAGTGAAGGGAATTGATGAAGATTCCCATGACTATGGAAATAATGTGTCAGCATATGAGTAAACAACCCAACTCAGCAGCCATATACACCGGTTCGCACAGTAGGTTAAGGGCTACATTTATTCTATAACGATTGACATTACTACATAACTGCTCAAATCCTAATAAGGAGTGGGCTTCGAACTCACCAACAAGACACTAGAAGTTGAATGCCTAAGTTTATGAAATAGAGTCATACATTTGTTAGCACAGTAAGTAAGAAAAACATTCAAAAGAAAACATATTTAACAAGCAAAACACGGATCAGCCAAATACGATGATAACAGTCTGTTGTATCATGGGGTATACAACCTGAGGTTAAAATAACACAGCACCTGTTACTGTGGTCGGATACAGTAATAATACAAAGTTTCACTCGAATGATGTCAAGGTGATAAACTTATTCTCATGAACAGTAGTCTTGAACACCTATATCTCATCGCGTAATGTCAGCTGAATTAGATTTAGGCTGGAGAATGTTAAAGATGGACAGAAGAAAACATAGATAACAACAGTTTATGAAGATTCTGGCAGTTAGTTTGATGGAAATAAAGACTTTTTGGATGAGGTGAGCAAGACAACTGAAATCGGTGATTGGAGACTCTAGGCGATATCGCTCAGAAGCGATCTCAGTGGTGCAGATACAGACACACTGTCTTCATATTAAAAGTCGTACCGAATTTCATTATCTCATTCCCTCGTGTTCTCTCATCATAACTTTATACTATTTAGACCATTCTCTTGTTTATCTCTATTTTTCATATTGGTGCCTTCTACCTTGATATGGTATGGCAACATGAACCGTTACGCAGTAATAATCTGGCTCAACATTGGTCCTAACTAACTAAACACTTAAGTACAGTGAATACGACCAATTACTATGGAGCTGTAAGAGTTGCTGTTGACAATAATGATGAAGTTGCATATAGTTGAAATCTGCTTATACACAATGCTAAAGACAGAATCCAACCAAAAACTGTTACTAATAAATTTTTATAGACTCTAATCTAACACGGTAAATATTAGTAGCTCAGGTTATGATGACAATAACTAATGTTACTGTGCACTGGATGGTACTTGAAATCTTTGATTACAAAAACATGAAGCTGATAAAAAAATTTACATCGTAAAACAAGCCAGAATTCATCAGTCAGAAGCGGACTACGGGGGATTACAAACAAATCATAAACAATGTCATATCTGCGAACTCAGCATAAAGAGTACTAATAGATATCTGGTCACCTCATCTTTGAAAGCGTAAAGTGGAAAATACAACCGGAGATTGTACTTAAACATTTTATGTCATTAAGCAGTTACAGATGACTTTGTAACGTAAGAAATGTCCTTTGAATAAAGTTTGTTGGTTTTAAATCTGACTTTAACAAGTTACTGGGTGATGATTGAAAGTGAAATGAAAATCTGAAACGCGGCAGAATTCGAACCAGCCACTTTTATGTTACTGGTCTAATGCTCTACCAGCTCAGCTACGAGTTAGTCTTTAGTGACGAGTCTGGCTGCACTAAATCATTGCCTACATTCTGACCTGAGTTATTTAGAACATGTTGATGAAGATTTTTAGTCGTAGCCGCTTGCTCCTCAATCTGGTTATTACTTAGTTCACTATTCCACTCGTGATTTAGTCGCAGACTCATCCCACAAGTATTCTTCAAGACTCTGTTTACATCGATTTGAAAAACATTTCCACATCCACGCATCTCTTGAAATTACATCTTCATTTTAGTTATAGAAAGATTGAGGATGTTGAAGTTTAGTAAGGTAAAGTTACGGTTTAAACTGTTTTTATGTAGTCAAATATACAGATATGATATATTGGTGGTGAAATTTATAGATACTTTGTAGTTGTCTAGCAGAAAAGCGGTTTCTAAAGTTAAAGATATTTACAAACCCTTCTGCCTTCATGAAAATTAATACGATTGTTCAGCTAGACTTAAAAGAGAAAAAAACAAGTTGCACTGGGGAAGGTTTTAGTGCCGAACAAGTACGCTTATTGAATACTTTTATAACGAACCGAAGAAAGGCAGATTTTGATAAAAGGTCAAGTATTTCTTAGCCAATTACCGCAGTAATTTTAAAAGACAATTTTTACCCACAAGTTATTTTACAGTATTGCTTTGTAACCCTTTTTTAAAGCTTCCTTCCGCCTAATTAATTATTATTTAACGCTTTAATTGTTGACCGGAAGTCCTTCAGTTGACTGTAGCGTATTGGTTCAGTTGCACGTTTGTAATTTACTGAGTGTTCTGGACATGTTAGCTGAAGCTGTGCCTTATTGCTCTAATCACTCAATTTTCAACCAGTGGGGTAAAGGTTTGAAACCCGGTTCACTTCCTGAGGTTCGGACAGCCAGCCATCAACGATCATACAATAGGTATGGTTCATTACCTACTGCGCGAAAGTGCACACGACTACTGAGTTATTTTTTTTAAATGTTATAACCCATTAGGGTTACGAATATCTTGTCCTAAGTTCCCTTCAGTCAGTAACCCATATGCGTAGGAAAACAAGGGTAGGTGAAGCACATAGTAAACCAGTGATGACATGACACTACCTCAGTCATTTTTTCAGTTATCAGTTGAACCATGTGATAAAAATCACAGCAGTTTATTTGTTACTATAAAAAATATGGAAATTTATATGATGTTGCTTATATTTTCCGTCATTGTTTGGACAGAACTGATCTGTCTCTATTGGCATATGGGCTCCTGTGCGGATACCTTAACATTGCCTGTATTTCCAATTTTGATATTATTGATGGGCAGTGTCTAGCAGTGGAATCCGAGGAAAAATTCTCTAGAGGTATTTTCGTCCACCCGTAAGCATTTGACAAGTAGTAACTGAACCACCAAATGAGTGACCATAAAACATTTACGCATTATTCATGCAACTGAAAAATAGCACTTGAGTGTAGAATATCTTACTTGAAGTAAGACTAATATGGATAATACTCTCCTTATTTACATCATCCAAATTAACTTCACAGTTTCAGAAATTGAAGAATTCATGGACAAAAAAAAAGGTGCCCGATCTCATGATCTTCATGAACAGACATATTTACAACGTCGGGATAATTACACTTCATTTGGCATTCAGACCGAAGTCAAACCACACCAGTAGTTACATACACGTATGATAGTTGTATGTTTAAACTGAGTATGAGAAATTGCATGCTAACGAGTAGGTGATTACTGTAGAGGTTCCTAGGGATTTTATCGATTCCGAGTAGGTATTCGTCACAGAACTGGCATCAGTTTGGAGAACCATTGAAAATCTGGAAGCATTGGATAGCCGTTCCGTCCCAGTATGGGACTCTTCAGAGGTGTGTATCCATGACACCACCGGGGATCGAATCTAGGACATTCACGTTACGGTGTCAGCATGTTACCATCGAGCCACTGTGACGAATACCAAATTGAAATCAATAAAATCCCCCAAACCTCCGAACTAAATTACTATCCTGTGTTCACTAATGACTCATTTCGAGATGAGATTCTCGAAGTTCTAATGAGAAGTCATGACAGGTGAGGAAAACTAAGTCGGATATGAGGACAAGTACTCATTGGACGAAGGTTGGACTGTATCACGAACTGACAGAAAAAAGAAAATGGTGATTGTTGGATTCCAACCCAGTGGCTCGATGGTAAAATGCTGGCCATGGAATATGAAGCCCTGGGTTCGATCCCTGGCAGGGTCATAGATGCGCACTGCTGAGCCCCATAATGGGACGAAACAGCTGTCCAATTCTCCCGGATTCTTAACAGTTCTCCAAACTGATGTCAATCCTGTAATGAATACCAAATTGAGATTTCTAGTTGACTAAACAGTTTAACTGGGAACATTTACCCAAGGAGAGAAACTCAACAGCTTACCTGTTTGTACATAACCAATATCGATAAAATGATCTTCACTGGCTGCTGCGATTAATTTACCATCGTAAGAGAATCCCAATGTACGCACAGGCCACTCCAACCTGTTGTTGAAAACAAAGAAATATGAAAAGAAATACACATTTTGATAGGTTTCGATAGGTTCCCAACCAAAATAACCAATTAGTCCGTTTTAGTAGAAGTAACAATTGAATAAAACGGAGTCAAACGACTGCCAAATGATATAGGAAATAGCACGATCTGCGTTAATGTTTATCACAGGTAAGTCGTTTCTTGGACCAACCAAATACCATGTAGACACGGTTTCCGTTATAAAGTACCAATTTAATAACCTACTACAACCTGAGACCTCAAAAATACATAAAGCTGTACCAGGTTGATGTTTATATTGCATAGTCAGTATTTCAGTTTAAGGTCCTTGATAAGGAAATGTTACGCTTCTAGCAGCATACCAAATCCGAATAAGTGAAACTTACTTCCATTATCTTTGTCTAATCTTCCTGATACTAGTATTAAGCCTCTTACAACTGTCTTAACCTGTCACCCTGCGAACAGTGCTACTGATCCAAGACAAAAAGCCACATTGGTAATCTCATGTTGTAGCTTTCAACATCCAAACCTTATGCCAAAGCAGACAGCAGGCATCGCTCCCCGAAACTCTGGAGCCTTAAAACATGTATGTATGCTGTTTCTCAGATGTGCATATAGGACCAAAGTATGGTTTTTCATTTGACTTGACCAGGACAACTGGCTGAATTCGCGAAATTCACCATATGACAGTTAAGAGACTCAATACCTAGTCGCTGTGCGTTCACTTGTGTAGCCTTCGTATCAAGTTGTAGAGCAGGAAGCACACTTTCTAAGCGAATAAAATTCGATAGATGTATGTGTGTCATCCCAAAGAGTGGTACTGTAAGAACTGGAGAAGACAGAGATAGCCATGGGTGCATATTCACCATTATTGCCTACGCTCCCACTATCTGAATGTCGCATGATACAAACAGTGAGTTCCATCAAAAGCTGACGATTTCGCTACGTGAAGTGAAACGTTCAGATAAAATCATGACAGTGAGTGACTTCAACCCCCCAAAATGAGAGAACTGAGCCAAGTGCAAAAGCATCCTCGGCGTATCTACTATATCTCTTGCAAACGAACCGACAACGCTGACCGCTTCCTACAAGTTTGTTTTGATAATCATGTTTCTGGACAGAACTAACTTCAAGCATCAAGACAGACATCATCTCAATTGGCGTTTCCTGACACCAAACCTATGACGGACTCAATTAGATCATATCGCCACAGCTAACTTTGAAGAGGATCAGTGGAAGAATGCTTCTCAGTCTACAGTATCTTCTTTAACTCCTATCATGCATTAGGACGAGCACATGTATGTCTGTGCCCTACTGGTAACAGAAAACAAGAGGTAGTTAAGCTTGTCTGTGTTCAATTGCAAAATGAGAACGTCAAGTATGCATTTAAGGAAAAGATAAGTAAGCATTTATCTGAACACAGCAGCGATTCGCATCCTGATATAGCCTGTGTGACACAACGTCATTCAAAAGGATACGACCATGACAACCTTTCAGGACAGACGGCTAGAACGCTGAACAGCACACTTTGAAACACAGTTCAACTGTCAAGTAGCAACGCTTCAGTTTCCCAACGTCCAGCTTGAACGTGAACGGGACGTCCATGTCCACCTTCGAGCTCTCCTCCAAGTTGAGAAATCTGTTTCAAACCTGAAACTATACAAGGAAGCAGAACCTGACGGTTCGCCACTGGAAGTTTTATGGAAGGAGGCAAGAAATTGCTGAGTAAATTAATGAAGAAACCAAGTATTGGTATGGGAAGCGGAGCTAGTCCCTTCAAACTGGTCTATTTCTAAAATCATCCCAGTTAATAAGAAGGGAGAGAAGTCTTCCTGTGACAACTATAAGGGATCCTGGGGTCCATAGTCATCTTACGCTTAACTGGAGTTCGAGAACAACAAACTCGAGAAACCATGAAGGTCTCAGACCTGGACGAAAGTGAGACGATCAGATTTTCATTCTTCGACAAGTTCTGAAAAGTAAACATACTTACCAGCAGCCGACACTTGCTAAATTTTCTGTCCTGACTGTACCATTCAACCCTGTCAACCGAGAGGTCCTGTGGCAAGATCTGACTGTTAAGAGAATACCGAACGAGAATTCAATGCTAATCAATACTATCTGCACGAATCTACGCAGTCACGAAAGAGATTATGAAGACTTTATGTTTGAACTAACGACAACCAGTAGTGTCCTCAAGGGAGGCCTGCTATTGTCGGTCTTGTCTAACTTTCCTATGGACATGTTAACCGACATAGCCATATGCACCTCTCAAATTACAGGGAGTGAATCACTTCCAGCATGCAGACAACACTGTCATCTGAACTGAAGATGCTGACAAAACGCATGATCTTCTGAACGTATTGAGGAGAAATCTAAGTAAGTTTGGCATGCGCTTCATTCCTCCCAAATGAAAGGGGGTCCTTCAAGACTGGTCTACACCAACCTCTAGTTTAAGGATACGGAGTGAAGTAATGGAACGCATTGACCACTTCACTAACATAAATAGTTGCATCAACCAACGGGTTAGTTGTTGATGAAGTCAGATATATTGGGATCGTTTGGCACTTATCAACTTGTATAACCTCTGGGGCCGACTCACGAGAAATTCAACTGCCTATTAAGAGATGAGTACACGGCAATGCACTTGGCTCCGACCACTTTTATCGTTGTGAAACATAACTGTTAAAAGTATCAGATGTGAAGAGATTACAAGTGTTCGAACACACATGTCTTCACAAGACTTCTCACATATGGTGGAATTACCATGTGAGCAATGTCGAGATTAAGCGAAGTATACTAGGCGAGACAGGCAAATCAGTTGATGAGGTTGTGAACCTCCATCGACTAAGGTGGTTTGGACATGTGTTGCACATGCCGAAAGACCAAGTCCTTGAATGTCCAACGTTAGCTAGAGTTGGGTTGGGATAAGGCTGAAGATGGCTAGACCAAGACATGGCACCAGTCTGTGAAGTCTCTGACTAATAGTCTGAGGTGTGTAGAAAGGGGTGGATTATTTGTTTGAGGTCGTCAAGATGATATGAATCAATGGCGAAATAATAATCTTGGTAAAATGGCTGAAAATTGGCCATGGTGACGTAGATGTATTCACTCTTTTACGTCCTCAGAATTTTGAACACTTCCCCTAACTTGCATGCATTTCTTTCCGCTCCTCCTCCTATACACTTTTATCCACTTTTATATCATATTTCTTATCAATCTTTTTGTTTGCATCTGGGTATTTCGTCTATTTGAACAGATGCACTTCGGTTACAGGTTATACGTTGATTTCTCAGTTTCTCTGAAAAAAATATCATGAGATAACTAATGCAACTCAGAAACCCCATCCAAAATTGTGTATCAAATATTGAAATGTATCTAGTGTACAAGAATAAGTATTACCATTTGATTACATAAATCAGAGTATATTCAGTGGGTTCATAATTGAAAACTATTGATTTTTAGTCAATCGCCGTTTTCTGATTTGTGGTACACTTTAAGGTCAAACTACCTACAGTAAATCCACATAGTTTTTAAACAGAAAAACTCAAAAAGGATAAAAAAATCCATTCGGTAAGTGGACGAAAAGTATCTTTCTAATGCAAATAGAACATGAAAGTGCCTACAAAAAATGAGGTGAAAAAAGCTAGGTATTAGCATCTAAGAAAAATCAACTTGGCTAACTTACCGAGATAAGGTACGCAAACAGACGAATTCATCTGCATCCCAAATAGATACTAAAGCGTCTGCACTGCCAACAGCGAATTGGCGACCAGTTGGTGAGAACTGAAGACACATAGCATTAACTGGATGAGCCTGTATACTTGTCTCCCTCTTCATGTCACCCGGTTTACCACTTGAAAGAGAAAAGAATTCAATATTGGAAAAATAACTGTAATGGACCCTTTTCATGAACAGAAAATTAAAGCTTATTATTGCTGTTATCATTAAACCATAAACTTGGCAACAGAATGAAAACCAAGAAATGCGCCATACAATACATGACAGCAACACTGTGAAGATACAGGAAACGAGAGAGAAAATCAAAATCAAAAAAGAGAGAAGTAGGTTCTCGAACAAGCAATCCTAAAAATACATCCGAAGAAGCATTTACTACTTTGGTTTGACTTTACAGTAATAAAAAAAAACAAGAAAACGGCAGTGTGTTCACAATTAATTCCTACTACCAGACACATCTATCATAGCAAGTCACTGGGTTGCATATTCTCTCGAACGCCCATCCAGGGAGTCACGAGATACCTGCAGGCGTGGGCCCAACACAACTACCCTTCGTCTTATAGCGTCACGTAATATACTGACGACCTAAAATCCTCCTGATTATGTCCACGGGAAGCAGTAAGTGAGCTAGGTAAAAGCCACTGGGACATGCGCAACACATGTGGGAGTCACTGAGGGCATTGTTTCAAGATAACAACAATTAATGAATCAGGATTTCCATCGCTATCAGGTGCACTCTGTTTCATATCAGAATTACTTATATGTTGCTTCCACCAGATGCAAGTCTCTGACTGATAATTTCATGTTAGATTTTTTATTTGATATGGCAGACAGTGGTGTAGTATTATTTACTGTATGTGAATATATGCAGTAAATTCTGCATGAAACGTCATCCAGTAAATAATACTACATCACAGTGTGCCATATCAAATAAACAATCTAATATGGAATTATACTCTACCGCAGTGCCCAGGTTCTACGCTTACATCTTTGACAGATAGTCTGAGGAGTGTAGGGAGGTGTCGACTATGTATTTTGGGTGGTCGAGATGATGTGATCAATCGTGGGAGAATCGTAATGAAATAGCTGAAAACCGATTATACTGGCGTACATGTGTTCACTATTTGAAGTCTTCTGAGGTTTGAACATTTTCATTAAACTTTATCCTCAATTTTTTTCATTCCATACACATTTGCCTACTTTGAAATTGGTCCTTTTCTTCCCACTTGTTCTTCGCTTTCAAATGTGAAGTGTGATAACTTAAAACGACGCGCTTCTGTGAGAGATTCTATGTTCGTTTTTTCTTTGCTTGTCTGCTCTAGCGAGACGTTTTTCGAAGCCAAAAACAGTTTTACTCGCCGCTTTCATCGCATCTTGTTTGTATTCATCTGTACTTTCTGCAGGTTCGACAGGTGGCGTTGAAAATAGCTCGGTTCGATATTTAGTTGCACTACAGCGAAAAATCCGTTTGCTTAATTTGATGCATTTTGGATTTCGATTTTGATGACCACGAAAACACGAAAACTTAACAGACACTAAAGCATTATCAGGATCCAGAGTAGTCTTCCAGATGAGCGGCAACCTTGAATATACCCACACCATAAGCAGCTTATTGCAATACGACCAGTTAGATTCCGTGTAGCACAACGGTGAGGGTTGTGCTAAAAATTGATGGTGTTTAGAAATAGGTTATGATCTACGCAAGGCTGAAACGGACACTCCAAATCATCTCATTTCCAACCGAAAAAACCGCATTGGCCACCTAAACGAATATCCTGCGGGTCTTGACTGCCGTCGACCTACGCATTCAAGTCCCCAGCTAGCACTATTCTATGTGTCAAGCACACCTGGTAGAGAAAGTCACTCAGTTGATGGTAAAAACCCTCCTTAACGGTATCCGGGTTGCAGTTAGTCGGGGCGTAGGCAAAGATAACAAAGAGACACTATTTTCCTTGCCAGTTACTTCTAGCTCCAATCGAACTTTTTAACCTACCGGCCTACAGATGACTGTTGATGGGGATCCAGACGACTAACGCAGTTTTATATCTAGCACTTAGTGTGATACTAGCACGAGCGAATTCGGCTGCTGATGTCACAGGGTCCACAGATAAGCGCACTTTGAGCTAACACATGGGAAATCTATTCTAAGCACTTAACTTATGTGTGGGTTTCTGATATCAAACGAACATCAATTAGCAAGGTTTTCCAGAGTTTTAGTCAAACCTGTTTGTTGTCCGATCTGCATCAAGGTTCAAACAGTGAAGATGACCATTGTGCGCATGATTTTACAGTAGTTTCATCAAACATCGCAATGAAGTACGGCTTCGTGGAAGCAACTGTTTAGAGACACCTCAAGACAGCAGACATACCAAAATGTTGGTCAATAACGAGTCGCAGAGTGGAACAAAAATACACAAGGATATAATCCAGACGTAAAATAACTACCATAATGCATTCAATGACTAAGCAGAAAGTTCGTTCCACAATGAATTTTGTTCCTTCCCCGAAGATTCGATAAGCACTTCGAAGTGTTCATTATTGAGATGGATTTATAAGCTGTACGTGGGGTGTCATACTATCCAAAAGCGTAAGCCAAAACAGATGGCTCTCTTAAGAGACAAATATCCAACCCTTTGACTTGATGCCCGACCTACAAGGCTCGAGAGCAACGTGAGATACTGAACTCCTATGATTGGCGGTGACTAAGGTAGGTTTATACGCCACTCCTTCGTTCTGGATAGTCAGGCCTATGTGCACCGATGGTTTGGATTCAAGATTTGTCGGGTAGACAACGAAAAATAGTTGTTTGAGTTGATCAAAGAAACTAAGACTACAAAGTAAATGGTTAGTGAAACCATAGCGGAGGAGCATAGATCTGTGATTTACTTACAGCGAAGACGACTGGAGGGATGTGCAGAAAACTTCAACTGGACCTTGACCACCCTTTGGTTGCCTGCTATCCAGACAGATCTTGAATGGAACGTTGAGATAAGGCTACCAACTCTGCAGAAGTCGGGAATGCTGCAAATAACCTGAAACAAGGCAGGGCAGCAACGTCAAATGGGCTAGTATTAGAGACATTTAAGGATGGTGATTGAAGGTTGTTGGTCAGGTTCACTGAAGTGCTACCTAGCGTATGAAAATCGGATATGAAACCCTTTACCTGATCTCGATTATTGATTACCTAAGTCCTCAAGAAAGGAGAGAAATTCTCCGGTGATAAGTGCAGGTGAACCAGTCTGATGAAAATAGTGCCTAAGACAGTAGGTTCTATAGTTATTAGACGCCTAAGCGAAGCTCGGGAACAACAAACCTCAGAGAACTAGACATGTTTCTGATCTGGTCGTGGTTGTGTTGAACCTTTTACCGACTTTTAGAATACAGGTACACTTACCGGCGACAGATACTGTGTTCCTTGACCAGGTGGCATTCGACTTGGCGTATCAGTAAGCCTTATGATAGTGTTTGCGAATGGCTACACAGAACTTCATCTAGCTTTCACAAATTAGTCAGTCAGTCTACGTTTGAAGGTAAACTGTTGTTGTGTTTATTTTACTTATTTCACTTTTATTATAGATTATGTACTTTCTATCAGATATTAAAAAAGCGGATACCAATATCCTATCCAAGTTGTGGCTAATTTCAGATAACTGGTGGCCACTAACTACCACTGATGCGTAAACCATCTGCCTCACTTCTGTCAAAATGGTAGGTCGAGTAAAATTATCAGAAGAATTACTGGGCTGAAATTCACTTTCCTATATATCTCAGAAAAATATACCAACCTGTATACCAGTATACTCCCAAGTCCAGTAGTTAAAAGAAATGCATCACCGCTAGGATTCCAACTGAATTCATTGATTTCTGAGGTAAACTGTTCAGCCTGTACTACCTTGAACCCGGCTCGTAAATCAAACCATGAAACCTAAGGATAACGAAATAGATAATTGGACTTAAAAATTATACTAAATGGTAAAGACAATATGTAAATTGTAGACAAACATTAGGTGCGGTTGGTGGAGCGAATACTTTGGGGTTGTACATAGAGATAAAAAGGTCAGTAAGTGACGTGTTATGTTTTATATAGAATATGCGATGAATGGAAAACATTAAATTGACGAATTATATCTTAGTGCTGTAGAACTCAATAACAGTTTAGTTCATTTATTGAATGCACCACAATGATATTTCGGTCACAATTTATTCTTTATTACCATATCAGTTTAACCACAACACATTCTGATTTAGTTTTATATCTCCACCGCTAATTATTCTCCGATAGTATTAGTAGTATAACTTTTCATACATCCGGAATCGGTGTGGAATCATTCCTAAAACACGCGTGGGATATCGATTTAATAAGAAAGCTCTAGCTATTAATCCTTCCGTTTACTCAACCAAGTTTTAAAATTGATTATCTCAGCCTTTTGCGTGATGTCGTAGTACGGATAGCTATGGCTTAGGTTTTTTCGGAATTTTTATGTTACCTGAGTTTATTAAGCTACATTTAACTGCGTTTTCGTGTCCTGCTAATTCAATTGATCGGTTGGTCCAACTTATGCATTCAACGTTGTCATTTTATGGAATTCGACAGATTAGATTTTGTTTTATATGCTTAATAGGACACCCTATGACTTCATGTCTCTGTGGAAATAGATAAGGATAGTTGAAGTGCAGCAATACCTCACTGATACTACATTTCCCGATGTAAATTTTCCGACTTACTATTCAGTCTTCATGCCCCACGCTAATTCAGTTTTTGATCGAGTTTACAATACATGATGTCGAATTGAAACATGATTATTAACTGCAGTGTGGAAACTTTGTGTTGACACTAGTGGTAATTCATAGCTTTACTAACTTGAGTTACATAAGTCATGACGTGTTCGTCTGACAGAATTCTAGAAAAGATAAGACTGATTCGATTGATTTTGATCGATTTGTGCCACTTACGGGCGGCAACCGAACATTGCATTGCACAGCGCTGTTATTTGTTTTAATGTACGACTGTGGGAAATGGTTAATAAGATGTAGGAAAGTTCTCATGTATTTGACTAATGAAGCCTTCATAGAGTTGTTTGTGGGTGATGGAAACACCACATAAGCAATATAGGGGTTGTATGTAGAATACTGCTTGAGGAGGCCAAGTCAAACTATTCATATGTAAACCCCAATCATTTAAGTAGACTCAGACATATGTTACACATGTTGAGCTACTTTTTACCCTAATGTGGCATGTTATTTGGAGTGAGACATACCGGGAGCTAGGGGTGACCAGACAATAAGATCGTTTCATGAAGTCTCTCACTATTCGTCTGAGTCTTACAGAAGAAGAAATATTTCACATTTGAGGTTTACAAGACATCTAAAACCATTGGGCGAAGATTCTAGGTGATATGCCTGAATATCTATCATAACGATAAGCATGCATTCTGGCTGTAAGACCAATACAGTACATCTTTACTACTTTTATCTTTTGTCTTTGTCCTTCTTACAATAAGACTTTTATTTCGAACTTTCCTTGTGATAACTTCTAATTTAATGGAATGTTAGGTTTAACAACATCTGTTATGCAATAATGTTGTCAGATGTTGATAATGCTCAATATCTGTCTGGAAACAATCAAAGTGACCTCTTAGTGCACTGATATTTATTAAATCGATCAGTTATTATCAATGTTGGACTTTGCATTACTATGTAGCGATCTCAATTGCCAAATCTCACATCAGTACATTAAGATACAGGATTACAATACGCAAGATTTAAAATAATGAAACTAACCTATTGAAAGGCTATTCGACGAAAATATGGGTAAATGCAAATCAAGAAGTGATATCAGGGTTAAGATAGGAATAACACGTGAAAATACCTGCACCAATGTGATCAATTTTGAGACATACACCCAGACTATTCTAATCATGGAAATTTAGGGAAGCGATTCATGACATATAGAAGAAACATTCCAAATCAATACACACCACAGATTTTACGAGTGAATGTTTATAACTAATTTTTAGACCAGTAGTCTTCCTTTATAATGGACACCAACAATCAAAGAAACATTGGCAAATCTGAAAACACTCTAATTGATAAAAAAACAAACACTCAATTCCCCAGTCAAACTCAAGTCGGGAGTCTAATCAGGTTAACTTGGGTTTATTCGAGACTAAAATGCATGGGAATATTCGAAAATCGTTCTGGACTGAAAGAGTACACCAGTGACTATTAGCAGGATTATTTACATTAGAAATAGACAAATATAAAATCGACGTGGGAACCCGCACTGAAGTGCATCTATTCAAGTTGCTAAACTTCACAGGATCAGTCATCATAATATCAAACTAGACACAAATGTATGGCAGAAAAAGTTTGAAAATCAAGGCATCTGAAAATGCTCTAGCCTTAGAAGATTTTAAAGAGTGAATACATCTACGTCACCATGGCCAATTTTCAGCCATTTTACCAAGATTATTATTTCGCCATTGATTCATATCATCTTGACGACCTCAAACAAATAATCCACCCCTTTCTACACACCTCAGACTATTAGTCAGAGACTTCACAGACTGGTGCCATGTCTTGGTCTAGCCATCTTCAGCCTTATCCCAACCCAACTCTAGCTAACGTTGGACATTCAAGGACTTGGTCTTTCGGCATGTGCAACACATGTCCAAACCACCTTAGTCGATGGAGGTTCACAACCTCATCAACTGATTTGCCTGTCTCGCCTAGTATACTTCGCTTAATCTCGACATTGCTCACATGGTAATTCCACCATATGTGAGAAGTCTTGTGAAGACATGTGTGTTCGAACACTTGTAATCTCTTCACATCTGATACTTTTAACAGTTATGTTTCACAACGATAAAAGTGGTCGGAGCCAAGTGCATTGCCGTGTACTCATCTCTTAATAGGCAGTTGAATTTCTCGTGAGTCGGCCCCAGAGGTTATACAAGTTGATAAGTGCCAAACGATCCCAATATATCTGACTTCATCAACAACTAACCCGTTGGTTGATGCAACTATTTATGTTAGTGAAGTGGTCAATGCGTTCCATTACTTCACTCCGTATCCTTAAACTAGAGGTTGGTGTAGACCAGTCTTGAAGTATCATCTTACCTTAGACAGGTGTAAAATCATAATTTAACATGACGCTGGAATGGTTTGCCTAATTTTTAACCCAATTGTGATAAAACTTTCATTTGTGAAGTAGGCAAATAAGAAAATTATGGGCAATACTCATTAAGCAATAGCGTTATTACAAGGGAAGTACAAAATGTCTACTCGGGTCGCAAATTCATGTAAAACGTTTTTTGCATGTATCTTTGTCATTTCTGAATGAATAGGTTTCCATGCTATTATTCCAAGCATTTAGATTATGCATTGAATTACAATGAATATTTACGAGTAACAAGAAAAAAATCGAGATACGAAAGCAGCAAATAACCATACAGAGATACCGTGCATAATCTGAATTTAATTGTAAATAAAAATAGGTGTTGCACGAGATATAACGCTTACGAAACAATACTAAATATCAAGAATAAACGAAGATGCTAAGGTAAACTTAAGAACGAGAAACCTTAACCTGACTTTCATCGCAGTCTCATGCACTTAATGACAAGTAGTAATCAGATATAGATTTCACTACAAAATGAGAAATATTATTGATTTTAGTTACCCTTACAGCTCCCAGCACTTTTTGTAGAAGTTGACTTCTCATTAGCATCGGATGAAACAATGGAGGATTTCGCAACCTTGAGTCGCTTTAGAAGTGTTCACAAGCAGCACCAAGATATAGAATGTTTTCGTAGAGAAACTGGATTTTCACGAAGATAACTACTCCAAGGTTTAATACAAGCTGTTTAGTTTACTATCCTCAGTACCGAAAAGAAATAAAATCCCACCCACCTGACTCCGTTTGATATAATCAAAACAGAAAAAGCAGCATACACTACACAAGTAATGGGACATTACATTTAACTCGTACTTTAAAAGTACGCTAACATGACATGAGATACCTAAAGAGTAGGTAACAAGCTAATGACAGGATTTTCTCACCTTTTGCACTGAATGAAAAGTTATAACGGTCAAACCTTTTCTCTGATCGCAAGCGCAAGAAACTTCAGATAAGTACTTTGTATTTGAAGTAAAGATATGAGGGTTCGTATTCTGAATGACTCTCTTTTCTAGGGATAGTAATTCTAGAAGTTATTACGAAAAGACCTACAAGCTACTGTGGAGTACTTATACTCTTACAGAGTGATCAACAACTGAGATTGCCGAAACAAGTCCTAACAGCTCGTCCGGTCAAGGAAGAAGGAATATAGTTACTGAAAACAATACATGATAATTACCTACTAAATTTATCACTGAAAACTAATGATAAGAACATACCAAGTCTGTCTTACTACCGACAGCAATGTAGCGTGCATCCGGTGACCATGCTAAATTGATATTTTCGCCTTTACATTGAGCTGTGATAGGATCTTTCTTCGTTCGACAATCCCAGAGACGAACGGCTCCATCTGCACCTACAGTAGCAACTACATCATCATCTGATGGATGCCAACATAGCTGGTCTACGCTTTCATTATGACCTCGGAAACTATGCACCTTAACCTAGGAGACAATAAATGAAGAACACGGGTACCTACCAATCTCGTCGACTCAAGGGCGTAAATATTTACAAGTTTGTCTGATGAGCCAGATGCCAGTCTTGATCCGTTATTATTCCAACCGAGAGTATGTATTTTCCCACCATAACCCGAAAAGTCCTTAACGCGAGAATTTTTCAGGAAGTAGTTCCTCAGACGACCCAGTTCTTCTGACCTCATTATCTAGCTTTTCACAAGTTCTTCTGCAACGACAAGTTGTGTTCAGGTTTCCGTCTAGCTGGTAGGTACTTTGTTACAAACAGGTGGCTGGAAAGGAGAGCCTACGTTGAATAGCGGTAGTTAACTCAACAAATACGAGAATCTGAAAGGCAAAATAGCGTATACGTTTTCTAATGGAACTACAAAATTTTCACTTCTTTGAGCGATTTTGAAGTGACCTAGAACTTACCGATAAGAAAACTTTTGTTATTTTTGATATTCAATACAGATATAAGAGGAAAATTACGGTAAACATGAATTTTTAGCGGTGGTCAGAAACTTATCCAGGCTTTCAGCACTTTTTTCTGCCGAACGTAAAAGTATGCATGATAATGATATTCATCTATCTGAAGTTAAACCACTTGGACTACGATATGGACGTACATAAGCATTTAAGTGGTCCTCTATCATCTTTAAATTACTTTTATGAACACCTTGTGGAAGAATTCAAGTATCAGAGCTCGAGAATTTAAGAGACTTCGATCTGAGGCATCAATAGTAGGAGTATAGGAAGGCGATAGTTTCGAGTTCTCGCACCTAGTTCCTCCGGCTTAGTTCTTGTCTTTCGGTTTCGCTCCTGTGCAGGACAGAGAAATCTCTTCTGCTTGAGTGCTATTTGTAGACTTTCATTTGCAACTATCGAATTGGATAAGTTAGGAAACTACAGGTTGCTGGGAATATTTTGTGAGTTCTATCTGTATAGATGTCTGAATGAGAATAGCAGAATAGGGGTAAATAGTATACGCAATGTCCGCGAAAAACGAAGGTAGGTAGCACGCGCAGTTATTAGACAGGAGTTAGAAGACAATGCGTAGATAAAAACCAAAGGGACAGTAGTTGGTAAGTAAGAAAAAAACAGCAGCAAGCCAATGAGATCGACACTGCCTTGAATACGTCCCTGATTGGCCATATGAACTGACAATTGTCTAACCATGCATATACGCCTACTGCACTAAAGCACCTCATTAGGCACACACACGTCACGAAAAGAAGTTTCAATTGACACTGGCGTCGACTCTCTAATGTGCTATTTTGGTGGACTTTCATCGTGGAAACCACCGTTACAAGTAAGGTTAGTTTTTCCCAAGACAAGCCTGACGAGTGGTCTTGTGAGCCGTAGTAAGATCACCCATTATTCTGTGATAGCTTAGCCAGCATCAAGTTTGGGCTCACCTCGGAAACTTTTGGGATTATTCTTAGCGTACTACAGGCCCACATGCGAATTTGCAAATGCCCCTAAATTCCCGGTCGTTTTCTGTTAAAATGCATGTTAAGGATTAACTGACCATACGCATCGCAAAGTGATTTCTTATGAACTTCGGGAGTGTTGCTACGACTTCGAAAACTCAGGGACTTTTCACAATTTAGTGGGAACACCCTGAGTATTTCGGAGAAAATACTGCGGCCTTCAGTGTGTGTCCTAATGTTTTACAGGGTTTTGCCTAAAACTCCAGAAGTGCGCCCGCAATAAATGCTGACTGAGAGCCTAGAGTAAATAAGTCAGTGTCACAATCTGTCGAGACGTTTTCCCCTTCGTACAACTGTTCCTGCGGCAAATCTTTGTAATTTCTGAAGGGTATTGGGTGAAGAAATATAGATTTCAAAGTATAAAACTCGAAAATTAGGCACGCTTTATCGCAGCAAGGAGCACACAAATATCAGGTATGCTCTCTTTTTAGTGCCAGTACTGTAAAAGGGATCTAATGACTGTTTGTCTGCTCCTTAGAAATAGAACTCCTAGTTAACACTCACTTTACGTACACGGGAGATGTTATGCATGTGGCATGCATACTTCGAACTTACTTGAAACTTAATAATAAAGTTTAGGGACTTAAGAACAGTGCAAGAAAACCATATGAGAAGTAATCCCATCATATTCAATTGGAATTAACATCATCAAAATTCAGCGTAAGTCTATTCATACCACTGCCATCACCAACAAATCAAACGGAAACCAGTCACCTTCAACCTGAACAACAACTTCAAGGTCTTTTGGTGGACTTCAAACTTAAAACCTGGACGCTCAAGGACGGTAAAATACTTCACCCCCACCTGTTTTGAAACGACTAAAGCAAGCGGATAGATCAGCAAGCCCATAGATTGCATTCAGCTTGACCCACTAAACACAACAGCTGAAAGTTAATTATGGGCAACATCCAATACATTAAGGCAGAGGAAATTTGTAGTTTTTGAATTCTTGCTTCAAGATCTTGATGACCACTTCTTTTTGATCAGTCATCCCCAGCTGATGACCACAGAATTCTTCTCAGTTCACCCGCTTATAGCTTTAGAGGTAGTGATTATCTATTTGAAGGTTTTCTTTTTCAAATTGCAGGCTGTTTTCTTTGAGGAGCGACGGAGCTGCTCATGAGATCAATTAAAACTTTGCAATTCCTGTCTTTACATGAACCTCCACGTGAGCATCAAGAGTTACTCAAAGATAAATGCGACGTTTCAGGTGATTACAGAATGATAGGATTCAAGATGTCAAAAGAAAGAGTGACCCTAATAACAAAATGGAGAGGGGATATTTCATACCACGAAGAGCAGATGGGTGGCAATTGCGTTGAATACCCCTAGTTATGGTCTAACACGAGTTCTAAGCACCATGAGGAATAACTCAAGACCTAGAGCAACAAGCTGCCCTTTTAGAGGGTGTATGGTGGCGTTCGCGCTTGCCACCATTCCCTTACAGTTGGCACCGGTATTCAGTGTGTCACATAAGTCTAGCCTGTGGAGAATGCATAAAGTTGTGCATAAACCACTTAAATTAAAAATAATGTCTCCTTCTCATTGCTTTTTACATACTTTGTACATTTTTCCTAATACCTGTTAAACCGAATGTCGTTTGTCTGTACACACTTGGTTTTGGGTGTTTTTATCGACTTTGCTGCGGCTATTAAACGTGGAAATACAACGTACTTTTATCCATCCTGACCTCTGTCTCCGTAACTATTGTCTGTCGCGAATACTCATTGACTGTCTTTGAATTTTACAGGACCACTCATCCTAATTCCAAATATTACAACAATCAAGCCAACCGACGTCAACTGTGGAGAGTTGATTAGTATCGTCTTCCGAACTCCGGAGTATACCACATTGAGGTGGACAGTAGCGAAGAGATAACATTCAAGTAACCAGTTATTATGCATCACATTGCCATCATTATTTTGTGTTATAACGCATAACTTTTCATATTTCTGTGTCGGTGAATCTATTTTTGTAAATTATACGTAGTTTATCATTTTGGTTTTCTTGACAATTCTTTGGGTCCTCTACAAGTCCTAGGATCTTCTCTGGGGATACCGCAGCTATCTCGCACCCACTGGTGGTGTAGCTGGTTTCCATCGCCCCTGGAGTCGGAAGATACATCACTTTGCACTTCCGTAGGCTAAAGCTCAAACCACTTTCGGCTGACCAGTACTCCAGCTGCACCAGATCATCTTCGAGTATCCTGGGATCCTCCTTCCCGTCTACCATCCTTCATACTTCGACACTGTCGGCAAATAGGAGGACAGGCGGGGAGATTTTGGTGCGCAGATTATTGACGAATAATGGAAATAAGAGTGGCCCAGCGATCGCTTCTAGAGAAACTCCTATCGTCACACTCCTCCGGGCTGATCTATTTCTGTTTACTTCAGTACGGAATTCTGTCCAATCTAAATATGCTGTAAACCATGCCATCAGCGGTTCAGTGACACCCACTTTCGCAGGTCCAGCGAGCATGGTGCAGTGTGGGACACTATAGAAAGCTTTGAAAAAGTGCGGAAAGCGTGGACCGATCGCTCGTTGTTCCATCTATTGGTCTGGTTATCTGAAGCGGCCATCAACTTTGTGACAAATGAATGTACGGTTCCGTAACTGTGCTGAGTGGGATGAACAATGTTGTTTTCGTTAAGGTGGTTTTAAACAACACTTGCGGTCAAGCTCTCTAGTGCCTTGGATAGTATGTTCAGTGACTCCATCGGCCTGCAACTGTGTGGGGTTTTCCAGCCTCCTCATTTGAAGGTTGGCAAGAGGATAACATGCTTCCAATTTTTGGAGGGTTCGTCTACCTCTGATAAGTGCGCGAACGAGCTGCTCATGGGCAGCCTAGGACTTAAGTATAGTTTCGTGGGATCACTGGTCTTATATCACCACAGCCCGAGGGATTTTGTCATTCTGATCTAATCTTCACCTCCCTCATCCTTACGTCACAGCCCCGGAACTTCGTTACATTGTTGGACGATGTTAGGGTCTGTATCACTTTGTTGAGCCGCTGGCCGGAATTTTTACCTAACACTTCCGCTTTCGCAAAGCTATCGGAGCTTCTTCGTTCTGTCCTGTGATCAGTTTTCAACATTTATTCATCAGTTTCCGCTGAAATATGAGCCGACGTGGACGTTTTCGGCCTTCTCTTAGCTGTTTGGCAAGATTTCTCTGGTATTTGTACCTGTTATTGCCAACGCTTATATTACACAGGGTGCGTAACTTCTTGCAGATAAGAATACCCTGTTCCTTATGGGACCCGCCCCGCCTATTCCATTACCTTTCCCCCTCCCTATTCGCCTCTAGGTTGCGCAGGCAGCCCAGGACTGTTTGATAGGTGGTCTTCCGATTAACTTCAGCACTCGCATTCCAACAGAACCCCGGACAATAGACCTTATGTGCACTCAGTGTTCGTCTACCTATTGTCTTGGTAAGCGTGGTGCGTTTAAGAGCTCACTCTTTGCGACCTAGTTTTCAGCTTTCCCGGTAACACCCAAAAGCCTCGAGGTCGACTGTTGGCGGTTTTGCCTTGGTTACTAGGGGAAATCTCACCAATCCGTAATAGCTTTTGCCTGAAAGGGGCTGGACGCTGGTGTCACCAGCTAGAAGATCATGGTCCGTTGGAACTTAGTAAAAATCGTGAATCCGATCATGCTGTATCATCTGCTCTCAACTCTGACCAACAGTTTCTATGCCATTCATGATATAGTGAATACCCCACACCATCCGAGGTAAACAGTACCGAATCGTCTCCCTGTACTGGGGGTCATTAAGCTGCTAGCGCGATGTATGCGCGGAACCCACGAGGAATGCACAGGAGTGCTTATTTTTTTCAGGATATATCCAAACACTTTTACTCTTGACTTGTTCCCACTTTGCCTGATTAACGCCCGCTCTGTAAGCAACAAGATGAAACTGATTATAGCGCTACCTCTGATTTTTGATCCGTCGGTGATAGTGATTACAGAAGCATAGTATACTCCTGATATTTGTAACATGGAGATCCTCATGGACAACTATTCTCTGTTCGGGAGGGACGGACTACATAATAACGTAGGGGGGTACATTATCTTTATAAAGTCTGACATCACTGCTACGCAGTGCTAAACGAGATTGACGACTCAGTATGGACTATCACTAAACTTACTCACTTCATATCTCTCCTAATGGGATGCATTTATCGACTGCCTTGCTCCTCAGTCGAATACAACAAGAAGCTAGGGAGCATGTTGGCTTGTGTGGCATCACTACCACACACAGCAAAAATTGTGTGTGGTGACTTTAACATGCCAGGCATAACGTGGCGGCCAATCAGCTACCCAAAACGCTTTGATAAGCATTCTTGAAGCAAAGGGTCGGCAGCGAAATGTGGAACACCCCTCCAGGTACAATAATGTCCCGGACCTAGTCTCTACAAACGAGACCACACACACAAAACTCCAAGTAGGTACATAGTTCCTAGCCAGTGATCACAAGATGGTATATGGATACTTTAACATACCCAGCTGAAAACTGGCCCAAAAAACAGGGACAGTTCTACCTGGAAACCACAAGTATGCTAAATGGGTTGAAATAAAGTTGTTTCTGCCCTGCCTAGATTGAGAACCCTACTTCGTCAGCGGCTCGGCAGAAGAACTCCGTGATCTATTTCATGGATATATAGGTACGACTCAAGACTATCGCTTCACCACTCCTAAGAGAAATTAAGAAAAGCGGAGTTAACTTTATACTTACGAAACTACGCAACCGCATGCATAACCATATCAGCGAGTACTGTAAGTCAACTGACTTCTCATTGCTTATCGCGCTCAAAAATGCGTACGACGCATTTAAGATAAAAAGGGCACTAGGAGCCATTAAACAGGAAAGCATTCAATGCGGCAAACTGGTAATTCAGAAGCACCAGTGAGACTGGTGAAAACCTGAACAAGCGGCTCCAGAAATATTGCTCTCAGTTTATTCATAGACAATGGAAACCTCTACGACGATCCACTACAAATCTGACAGCTGTAGAGTTATCAGTTTGCTAGCTGCTCTACCTTCAAGGATAAAACAGGAGTCATTGGCACACCATCAACATCAACTCACTCGGTATGTACTGCTCTCTTCCCTCGACTAAAGATTTCCCTAGCTTTGGCATCACTTCGAACATCATGCAGTACTGGAAGTGATGGAATTCCAACCGTCTTGATGAGAAGAGGTGGCGAAGACATACCGCTAATTTCCTTGAAGCTCTTCAATGTGTCGCCGTCCAGTGGCAATTGCCCTGAAGACTGGAAACGATCCTACATATGTCACAAGCATAAATATGGGCCAACATAGAATGCAGAACACCATCGGTCTATTTGCATCAAGTCAGTAGTATCCAGGACTATGGAAAAGGTGACTGTGAAGGAATTTGTCAACCACATAATGACAAACCAATTACTTTCTTCAGCATAGCGCGCATTCTTGTAAGGCCGGTCATGCGCTTCGGCCTGTTTTGACTATGTAGACGATATTACAAGCAAGCGAGACCAAAGCCTATTTGTGGCCACCCTTCCCTTAGGACTTCAAGCAAGCGTTCGACAAGGTGCTTCACAAAGGCCCAGTGACTAAGTTGCAATCACATGGTCTCCAGGACCCGTTGCTGTCCTGGCTTGGAACATCCATAGAGGGTCGCTTCCAAGCAGCAAAATCCGGTAGTTGCTACTCCTTCCCTAGACCTAAACAAAGTGGTGTCTTCCAGGGTACTGTGCCAGGGCTGTTACCTTTCCTAATCTATGTAAGCC